CCTGCAGCGGGGGACCCTGTGGGACACGCCACAGCTGCTCACCGGATGAACTGTGCGAGCTCCCAGGCCTGCACCAGGCGGTGGGGCAGGTAGGCATCCTTCTCCCGGCAGTACTCGGCATGCAGCTGGTGAGAATGGGTAGGCAAAGAGGCCATGATCCCCACACTGACACCTGCTCTGCTCCCAGGCTCCCTGCGAACCTACCCAGCCCCTCTAGATGGTCCTTCTGGGGTCTGGCCAACATCTGTCTTTATCTCACCCCATGGGGACAGCCTGGGATGCTTACCCCACTGCACAGCAAGGTTGTGGGTCCCTACCCTGCCTCTCCAAGAAATATTTTATTAAATCAGTGCATAGCCCAGGGCAGAGGGTGCAGAGCAGCAGTTAAAGCAAGGGGACAGCGAAGGAGGGGTATGGCCACTCATTCCCCTCCTTCCCCATTGTCTGCCCTGTGCTGGGTCCTTCCCTGGGGATGCTCACGTGAGTGACATAGACGTTGAAGACGATCCCTGAGATCTTAATGATGATGAGGCCAACAGACTTGCCACAGAACCAGTCCCCATGCTGGAGCTGCCAGGGGGGAAGAAGAGCAGGTCAGGGCCACTGAGGCTCTGTGAGGATGGACACCATGTGCCCCCTGCCCTGCTCACCATGTAGGGGTACCCGTTCAGTGAGTACTGGTAGAGGAGAGTGTCCAGGATGGGGAACCTGGAGAAGACGCAGAGGCCACTGCCAATCACACCGCTGCAGGAGAGGAAAAGCACAGTGAGAAAGCACGGTCCCCAAAACCCCTGCGTCCCCCCAGCCCCAAGCCAGGAGGGCTCCCTGGATGCCGGGGTCCTAGTGTGTTCCTGTGAACATCTCACTCTCCCACAGTGACAGAGGTGACTTACAGCACCCACACCGGTCTCTACATGTAACAAACACCGAGGACACGGCACAGCCCCACAGACAGCCCTGGTCTTGCCCTTCTCACCTGCGGAAGTAATGGGAGAAGGGGTAACAGCCTCTTAGTTTCGCCTTCAAGTCGCTGTAGTCCTGCTCACTCCACACCTGGAGAACAGCAGGATGGGCTGAGGACAATCATGCTCATCTCCCAGGCTGGGAACAGGTGCTTTCAGCTCATGGACTACCCTCACCTCCTGGAGAAGCACCAGGTCAAAGCTCTCCCGGCGCAGCATGTCCCCGATGAGCCGAACACGCTCCTGCCGCCGCTTGCTCAGGTAGCGGATAGCCCTGCCGGAGACAGGCGGTGGTCACAGCCTGGCAGGGATGGGGTGGTAGGGGCTGTTGGGGCACACTGTGACCCAGAATGGGGGAGAGAGGGCTCCAGTATCAGCATAAGCAGGATGCAGATGGGGAAGATGAGAAGGGGAAAGGACCATGCAAGGACATGGGGACAAGAGGGATATGCAGGGACACTGTTTAGGGACAGCTTCTCGTGCCTGCCGAATCGAGGCAGCTCATCCTTGCTTGGGGTGCAAATGGGGGGACTGTTCTAGGGGTAGCAGGCACAGAGAGGACAGGAAGCACGACCCAGCCAAGCACCTTAAGACCTTCTGGAGCTGGGAGTGTGATGTGACCCCAAATTGAAGGGGACACAAAGGTAACCCCAAGGTGGGACCCTTCCCCGAGTGCGGTGTCCTCATCCCCACCCGTGCAGCCCGGCACGGCCCTGGTGAACTCTGGACTCACCAGCAGTTGAGGTCAAAGACACGGAGGCACAGGGTGGGATCTCCCTCCATAGCTCACTGGGTCTTCGTGGGGTCCAGATGGCAATGTTGGGCAGAGGAGGGTCCTGCGGGGAGTGGGTTGGGGTGACAGCCCCGGGCAGCTGGTGCAGGACACAGGACAGAGCCAGGGAGGAAGGCAAAGGCCAGGAGGGAGGAATGCCTGAGGTGCTGCAGTCTGGCCCGGACCGTCCCCTCCCCTCCTGCGTGCAAAGCCCATCCCGAACCCCAACCTGCCCTCACACAGGGATCCATGTACCCAAACCATCTGTGCGACCCTCCATCCAGTGAGTGGGGACACTGGTGGGCCAGGGACTGGGGTACAGGGCTCAGCCCCTCTGTCTGTCAGCGACGCGTGTTCCAGGATGGACTTTCACCCCGGTT